ATCATGTGATGAGGAATCTGCCTCTAATTCCCACTGAAAAATCTATTCTAATATGCTGTATACCCATATGTCTTTTGATAATATATTTTTATCTGAAGTATATCCTCTCATTGTTCTTTGTATGACAGTGATCTAATCACTCAGCTTTCTGTACAAAGTGATTTTCTACCAACAAATATTTTTTTAATGCTGTGTTTATGCACTAAGTGCAAAGTTGAAATAGCACCCTTGTTTTTCTGTGCTTTGACAGCTTGAGGGAGAATCTATTACCCACTATTTTTTTTGCCACTGCAAGAGTCTTTCCCAGTGTGCCAGATTTCAAATGTTTACAGGATCATACAGTTTGAAATTTTCTTTCACTAAAAATATTAACTTTATTTGTCCACATTCATATTAAATTCTTTAGGCCTATATAACCTCAGAAAATGGTCTTTTAAAATCCTTTTCCATCTTGAGAGCTATCTGACTATCATTCCTCTACTCTGCATGAGAGGTTTTCACATCTTGCTTCCCTAGTTCTAGCTCTCCATCTCATTACCCAGGTTTCCGTCTTTAGTCCACAAACAACCTTTTTCCTTCTGACCTCACATTATTATTAACCAACTATGTAGCCAACCTAATCAATTCTTTCATCCACAGCAGTGCTTTCTTTTTTACCCCTGCTGTCCAGTATCTTAGTCTCTAGTATAGCCTCATTATCAATGTTGTTACCTTTAATTTATGGAAAACTGCTGTAGAGATAGCATATATGTCTCTCAGACACAAGATGTCTCCTTTCACCCAGATGGATGATTTCTTTATCTGTTTTCATAGCCCTGGTTGCTGAAGATCAGTGCTCCAGACAGTCAGGTGCAAACCCTCCTCGAGAACTGTGCTCTTTCTGGGAACACTTCCTAAAGGTAACGCCTCGAAGTCCCTAAGCAGAGTTTCCTAAGCAGGGTTTTGCTGTGTTTTTGCCCACAGCTGGCCTGCACATGGCATTTTATCTGCCATGCCATGTGGCGAAACAGTTCATTAATGCTTCCACAGCAATCATCAGTGCACCATTACTTTATGCTTTTTCTTGCCTTTTTGAATCTATAGGATTATGGAATTACTCTCCTTCAGAGTTAGAAGTTACAGGATATCAGGGCTCATGTCTTAAAACCTGCTTAGGTGTTTCAAAGGTGTGAGTGGGAATGAAACTCCTAATTGCAAGCAACCAGAGCATTAGACAAGGAAATGTCTAAACTATTTGGCACTGTTTGAAAACTCCAGACTGTGCTTTACTACATGAGGGAACACTTCAGTGCTCTGTAAAACAAACCAGTGTGCCTTATTTTTCCCATCCATGAGTGGACAGTATCGTCCACTCATTTTTCTCGAAGCATCTAGAGGATAAATACTCTGCATAATTGGCATGTGTCATTATAATAGGGTTTGGATAGCCACCCATTTCTCTCTTTCCTTTGATGATCAAGCTCCAAGGAGTATAAAACTACAGATTTTGTTTTCAGTTTGGTAAATTTTCTATTTTAAAATAATTGTATTTATAACACATTCAATGCCAAGGATGACTTACCACACTTCCACAAAAGCTAGAAAAAATCTGGAAAAGCTATTAAACCCCTGCTCTAGTATGCTCACACAAAAGATGGATCACAGCTGCAATCTCTAGGCATGTGGGTTCCTGTTCCTATTGTGGATTTTGTGCTTCTTGCCAAATTCACAGCCTCTGTCCCAGTATGACACTCCCAAGTAAAAGATGCCTGGCAAGGGGGTCTGTAGGAGGGAGTCCCACTGGATGTAGATTTTCCTGGAGCTCAGGGGCTTCTCCTATTTTTTGTGACTGTGAAGATAAGGAGGAGTTTACTAAAATGAGAGCTCTGTTTCCAATATGGGAGCCAGCTTTTGTGGTAGGGCTGTAGCCATGGCGACCATGCTGATCCCCTGGGGGAGGGCTAGATCCCACTCTGCCAGGACTACCTAAACTCTGTGGGGCTATGCCTGTGAGACAGAACTTCAGGTGATGCTGAGTGATAATAAAATAAACATCTTTATTTTTAATAGATGGACAAAACAGACCCAAAACCAGACAGTATTTTCCTGAAATGCATGGGCACTATTGAATACAATACAAATGAAGTCAAAACATATATATCTATATTATGCTTCCTATCTGCTTCATTAAGTATATTCATTAAGTTCATTAAGTCTTAATATAACATTTCTGACACAGACAAAAATATACTTTTTTATTTTAACAACAGCCACAAATACTGCCCTGATTAGTAGCAGACTTACAATAACTTACTAACTGCACATGGAACTTGATCAATACAGTTGAAGGGCAGAAAGAAAAATGAATAACAGTTTTTTTCCTATGATACTTCTATCTGAAATCCTAAATTGTTGTACTCTATGCCAAAATAAAAGACTAAATCTGACTTTTACTTTATTTGATCCACTTAATGTTTACATTCATTTCAGGTTCACAAAAGTATTTTTTATTTCTAGTACATATACCACCCCATTTGGACAAATATAGATGAAATCATGACTTTTTTGACATGTTAGCTATGTTATTAACCTTGATTTTATGAAAACATCTCATGCAAAGGAGGTAAAAATCCCTGTCAAATAAATGTTATTCACAAATGCTAAAAACATGAAAGTAAAATGCATGATTGTAATATGAATATTTTATCTAGACACTGAAGGCTCAGAAACAATAACCTCAGTGTCTGAAAATGAGCTGTTTGCTTCACTGATTATAGATCCAATTTACTGCACAGTACTACTGTCTACAAATTGCAAAAGTGGAGGAGTGTCTGATAATTCCTCTGAAAATAAAATCTACTTGAAGAATCACGTCCTGTTGGCATTTTGCTTGTGGAAGTAACTTAGTTGTATTTTGTTTGTTTTTTTTTTTTTGTTTAAACCCACATCTATCAATCACAGATATGGCCTTTGGTTATATGAACATCTCTGTACAAATTTAATTGTAGGAAAGCTAAACTAAGGCAAATAAAACCTGTAAACAGACTTTGCATGGGGCTATTCAGTTTAGCTTTTGTAGTCATTCCATCCCCTCTGCAGCCCCCCACTGCAACCATGGCAGGCATTGTTGGACTCACACGAAGACACACACACAGAATTGGTATGTGGAAAGCAGAGTTATGGTCACAGGATGAACAGATCACTTCTCTCCTTTGCATGATAAAGCTTCCATGGTGTGCTACATGAAAAAGTGCAATAACCTTTCAGTCTCTGCAGAGAGTACTGAAAAACTTTGTTGGAACCATTTTTCACACAGGGAATGCATAGTTCTATCTAGGCAGGAATACTGTGCAAAATCACATCAATTTCAGAAATTTTCTTCAGGGTATAAAGTGTAAAATATTCTGATAACGTTGAAAGCATCTGGGTTGAAATTTTTGGACTAACGTTTATTTTTTTCACTTATCTTTTTTTTTTTTTTGAGCATTTTAGAAACATTTACATTTTTATGGCAACAAGGGAATAGAAAAGGATTTTTATATTTCCATCAAAATGTCTCAATATAAAAATGTTGCTGTATTCAAAGCATCTGTTCACTATGCAGTTTCTCATAGTTAAATTCTAGCAATTCCTGGACAAAACTTAGGTAAGAGAAAATTTTTTAGGAAGACCTAGAGGTGACTATAAAATGTAATTTTCTAACTTGGAACTGCAGCATAAGGCATTGGCTATGTTAGCAGGCAAAGCCGTGGCTTGATATTTTCTTGTAAGAAGGGGTTCAGACTAGAGTATTTGGGCAGGAAATGGACCATAATTCAGCATTGGCACTGTTCTCCCCCTCTTTTTTCTATACAATCTCTTTTTTTCATCTCTCCTCTGTAGTTCATGGGGGATCAAATACTGCTGGGCTTATGTTTGGTTTGTGATACTCAGCACCCTGAATTTTGTGGGTGGCTTGTTCACTCACCTAGCAGGAATTATTCATTTCTTTGCTAAATTGGCTCTCGTGGCTTTTTAGTGCAGATCTTGATTTTAATTCCGTCCACCCAGAGCACACTCAATATTTGTTGGCACAGTAGTACTGCAGGTCACAATGCATATTCAGAACTGAGATGCAGTGTAATTTTTTAAATGCAGTGCAAGGAAAAATAATCAACATATCTAAAATTAATTTTCTCTACATATAAAATATATATATGCTGTTAAGACTCCACAAAAGGAGCAAAAACATACCTAAGAATTCAACTTTGTGAAAGCTTATGTCAACACTGAATGCACAAGTTGATGGCTTCTTCCTTTAGCAGCAAAACCTATTCCTACATCTACTACCCTCCAGTATAGCTCCTCGTGCTGTGAGTGTTAAAAAAAGAAATTTCACCAGTGACCAGCAACAGGAGGATGTCTGGATTTCAATGGAACATTTTGTGTCATGCGCAGATTTTAAAAAGAATTATTGGAGCATAACTCTTAACTGTACAGAAATCTAGCTACTAAAGCTCCCACTGTGAAAGGCACGTACCAATGGGGACAGACACAATCATCTTGGCCGTGGGCAAATGGAAACGATGTTGCGTGTTCCCTGCCGGCCAGGGCAAAGGCAGGAGAGGCCTCATCTCCCTGCTTTGTTGCTTTTGGCCATTCACGAGCGAAGTCTTGTCAGCATCCGGCCACTGCTGATGCTCTGCAACATTACCGTGATGGCCAGGAGGACAGATAGTTGCAAAGGAGTCCAGGGTTTAGTGGAAGACACCGCTGTGCCTTTCGTTATGTTTGTGGTTTCAGCTTTCCTCTCAGCAACCCTCCAAGCTGCTTTCCGAGGCAGACACAGATGTGGAAAGCTGTCCAGCAAGCCTGTTTTTTGAAAAACTTTTGAGAAAGAGTGATTTTCTATGGAAAATCTACACTTTCCAGAGTAATCCCAGCAAGACCAAACCAAAAGACTTTTCAATAACTTAGAAAAGACTTTTTTTAATAAGTGAAAAGTGGGCATTTTTCACAAGGAAAACCCTCCCCTCTCTCTTTTCAAGCATTCTTGACTCTGCTTACTTTTCAATATTTATTCCATTGGTGCAGTTGCTTGGTGTCAGACTGCTTTGCTCAGTGTTCATTTTGATGATAAATCAAGATAAGATTTCTTTTCTCAACATTGAAAATTTCTATTTAGTTTATCAGGTTTTTTTATAAGAGTAATTTTTAACAAGCTGAATTTCAACTCCAATTATTGCTTTAAGAATTTTTGAGACAGCCACTAACCACAAGAAAACAAAGAACTCCTATGTTAACATTCTTTGCTTAAGGTTGTCTTGCATTAAGTATAACAGAATTTTAAACTGGTGAATTAATTTTAACTTTTTGAAATTAATATATGATGTTTATCACTCCTGTAAGGTATTTATTACTATTTGTGTATTTTGTTGTCTCACACAAATAATAAAATACTAGATTGTATTATTTATATTTATTTATAAGGAAAAAAATGACCGGACCAAAACCCCAGGGAAGTTATCTATCTGTCTTTTGCTCAAGCAACTAGCTCTTTAGTAATAAATCACTTATAGCTGTGACAATATATTTTCAGTTAATAAAATGTTGACTGATAATATTTCAGAGTGACTGTATTATAATCTCTTCATATGATATTCTAAATAGCTGTTGCACATTTTCTGCTACATGTATTTTCAATTGTAAATATTTTTTTAATTGCACAGTATATAGTTCTGGGTGGAAAGAATGGGATCTGAGTGTATATAACGCTCTATGAACTAATCCAACATGTTAGATAATAGCAGAAAAGAGCTCCTCTCATGCTCCTGCTTCTAGAAACAACTTGAATGTGCGGTGGCATTTTATTTCCAATTCTTCCTTTTCTTCTGATAAAATGCCTCTTACTATTCTTGGTAGAATATCCTGTTTAGTGTTGTTTTGCCTGTGGCTACCAGATTTTTTTAATTATCTTCAGCGTTGGACAGCTCTGGACTCGAATCAACATAGTTGAAGGCTTCCTTGTTTGTGAAAGTTGAGCTCAAAGTTAGACTGTGTCGTGGATTCACAGGTGCAAGTTCATTTAGTACAATATTGTCACTTTTTACAAGAGTCGCTTTGTCCATGTGTTCTCTACTGTACCTGGCAACAACAGCATCAAGAAAGTCCAACTTTGGTGGCAAAGTCCCACTTTCAAATAAGTATTTGGCTAAGTAAGAGACTAGAACATTAGTAACGAAGGAGGTGAGCATAGCAAGTGTTTTAAATGGGAATCGCTGGATATAGATATTATTATCATCTTGATACCAGCCAGGATAGTAGATCAAGGGCTGAAGGTAGAGATATGGTTCTCCTCCAGTTATTCTGAGAACAAGGCCAAATAAGTATCCTGCAATGGCACCGTAGGTGTTGGTTCCTTTAATAAATAAGACACACAGGAGCTGGGGGAATATGATGATATAGACAAGGTCAGAGCTGAGGTACCACAGGCCGTACACTGATGAAGCCAGCAGTGCCATTGCTGTTGCTGATGCTCCAAACAGAAGAATAGTGATTCTCATGACCCACACAATTTCCCTGTCTGAAGCCTGCAAAAGAAGGGCAGTGTTAGGTGTTTTTTTTTCACAATGAGACATGTATGCCTACATTTATGCACAGTTAATACAAGATGCTGCACTGTAAGAGGAAATTTTGCATGATTCATTCAATCATATTTACAAAGTAAAATCTCTATCTCCACCTCAAACTCAGGAAAACAAACCCCAAGGGTTGTGGTTGCCATTCCCAAAGTCATTAATTTTTGAACATAAGGGAAAGTTTGAGAATGTGTCAAAGAGAAAAAACAAAAGTGTTAGAAATAACCATTAGAAAGAAAGACAATATGGCTCAACTAGAAAAACATAATTGTCAGCATCAGAATTTCTTCTTCTCCATTTCCCAAGAAAAACTCCAACTCACTAGACCATTTTGTTGTCAAATGACTTCCTGATAAGTGAATAATTAGAAAAAATGTATAATTTTGTTAAGGATTTAAGTAAAAATTATGGATGCAGTGATAATAATTAACTCTTTGGATAAACTGCAGTGCCACGAAAACTCTTGAAAACTACTCTTCCCAAGCTGGCTTTTTACCTCTGTCATCAGTCACAACCATAAGTATTTTTATGACTTTCAGTTTGTTCAATAAACTGTTAGGAATTAAATTACGTCCTTTTTCTAGTCATAGGTAGGAACATGAAAGAGGTGTTTTATTAGGAAATTATGCCTTGGTCAATTACCTCGTTAAGGTCTCACCCAGAATATTGTCTCAAAATAAAACCAAAAATATTATCTCACATTTTGCCGAAAGGAAAGCTGGTAAATGTTCCGAACAAACATAGAACTTGCTGATAAAATTGAAGAATCAGCTGAGGACATCACTGCAGCAGACACAGCGCCGAGGCCAAAGAATGAGATATAGACTGGGCAAAGGTACTGGAGCACGATCGGTAAAATCATATCTGCTTCCTTTTTACTCTTGGGGTCAGGGACACCATAATCAGTCTGGTTCCAAGCTACAGTATAGACACAGGTATGTTATTAGTAACATTAGTGGTCATCAGCTACAGCACTGCTTGAATTCATGTGCCATACGTTCATTCACATTCAATGCCCAAACCATTACCAGGGCCGGACCAATGACTTTGCAGAGGGACAGTGTCCCACTGATTTCTGTTGGGCAGATTTCATTCTGTTCAGCATTTTTTCTTATCTCTAAAATAAGTCTCACCACAGCCTGTGGTTATCCAGTAGAAAGTTCAATATTGAAACTTTGCATTGCTTGTAAATGTAATTTTCCTCGAAACAAGTTTAGTGATGTGTTTAACTACTCTCTTACAGATGGGGCTCAAAGCCATGTGTTAAACATTTCTTACAGAACATTTCTATCAGTTTAGCTACATGGTCACTGTGATAGTAACAACTCTTACTATGACAAAGATCTTGACAAGGGTATTTTGGTCAAGATAAGAAATTCCTGATAAATCATAGAATCATTTAAGTTGGAAAAGATCTTTAAGATCATTGAGTCCAACCACCAGCCTAGCATGGCCAAGACTACCAGTAAGTCATGACCTCAAGTGACACATCTACATATCTTTTAAATACCTCCAGTGATGATGAATCCACCATGGGCAGCCTGCTCCAGTGCTTGACAAACTATTTGGTGAAGAAATTTTTCCTAATATCCAGTCTACACCTCCCCTGGTGCATTTATTCTCATCCTGTCACTTGTTACTTGGGAGAAGAGACCAGCCTGCATCTCATTACAACCTCCTTTTAGGTAGTTCTAGAGAGCAATATGGTCTCCTCTCAAACTCCTTTTCTGCAGGCTTAACAACCCAGCTCCCTCAGTCACTCACCATTATTACTGTTAGGACCAAATAAAAGTACCAGAATCTAACTCAAACATTGAATAGAGATTTATTACACATGTAGATATCCATAATGTGCAAAATGATTTCATTTCACCCACTAGAGTAGGAGCGATTTCCTTTTGGAGAAATATCCTATAATATTATTTTTATGTGTAGTTTCCTACCCATGAAGAAGTCATGAGTTGATTAACAATGTCACCTATCTAACCTATATGTGACCTATATCTAATATAAGCTTTTTCTTAAACTTACTGCACTATCCATTTTACATTTATTTTACTACTGATTTTTAATCATTTACCTGTAGATGCTCCAATTGCACCAATGAGTACTGCAGGAATAGCCATCACAAAACAGCCAAAACCAGCCAGGAATGACAGAACTTGAGCATATGTGGCAGAAGATGAGGAAAGAACTCGCTGGAAATATGCTTGCCATGGTATTCCTCCTAATGTCTGCAAACACAACAGGCAGAATGCTGTCACTGGGAGCTAACTGGATTTTTTTGCTGTCACTGGGAGCTAACTGGATTTTTTTGCTATCACTGTATAGAGAGCATGTAGAAGCATCACTTGAATGCTGAAAGCCATGTTGCTACTTTCTAATTTATTTACTGAATATCAATCAGTCAGTAATAACTGCAACTTTCATTCCCACAAGAAATGTGAAACCTGTGCAATTCTACTTAAATTCCATTCCTTTAGACAAGGGTTTTTTTGTATGATTAGAAGCAACACTTTGTGCTTACACTGTCTTTGAAACCCCCAAGTACTGAGCTGTACAAGCACTTAATAAAATTCTACGAAAAATTATAAAATACTATTCTTATATTTCATATTTGAAGACTTTGCATTCCAATACCCTTTCCCCACCAAAATTAGACTGGACTCTGATAGAATTTGAAAGCAAGAGTTTATCTTCCTTTGTGAATGCATGTGATCATTTGAACAAGGCAAGACACTCTCTATAGAGTGAACTCAAGAATCTGAAAAATAACTCTCCACTGTCCTAAGCAAATACAATACCAATAGAGATTGAAGACAGAGCAGTAAAAGAAAGTTTTCTTTTATGGTAGAAATCCTTCTCTTTTATTTGGCTATATAACAGTGAAGATCTTGAAGAGATTTAAAATTATTTCTGCAAAATACGACACAGATATAGGCAAAGGTTGAAAACCAAAGTGCTTACAATTCTCTCTTGTGAGCAGGATTTGAAGAGTCTACACTAAAGAAAAAATGTCTGTTACTAAACAACATGGAAAGAAAACCAAGCAAATTGCTCACTAACTGGACACAGACCAGTTCTACACACTAAGTGAGGTAGGAAGCATTTGGAGCAAATATTGTGTATACAGGTGTTTCATGTATGTTTCATGCACACATAGGGACTAACTTAATGCTTCACAGACAAATCTGATTTTGACTTGCTATTTATGACAGTTTTCCCTTGCTGCCTTAATAATCCTTTAACAAAGCTTTCCAAGGATGTGTAAATTTCTTGAGCTATAATGAAACGAACAAGATAACAAGAAAATGTGCCTCGATTTGGCAACATCAGAGCTTTCCTTTGGTCATCAACAGAGAAGAAACCTTCAGGCTTACTAGAGAGAATACAGCCACTTGAGCTAATGTCATACTTTGGGTCTCTGACAGAAAGCTGGATAAAAAAATGTATTTTAATAGCCCAATCATTAGAAAACCCAAAACATTTTTCACTGAGATGGTTTTAAAAAAAAGACCGAGAAGGTAATCCTGAAGTACAACAGGATAATAAAATCAGTTCAGGTTTGCATAGGGACACTGAGAATGGAAAATGTTAGCATGTGCTTCTACATCTTCTAATGGAAAGTACTTAATAACCAGTGATCCCATGTGTAATACATAGTTATTAAATAACAAAAGACCTTGGTTTGTTCTGGAATGTGTGCATGTATGAATTCATCCACCCTGCCATCCATCTCTGCACAGCTTTTTCTACTTCACCTATACCTAGGGCATATTTGATAATTTGTATAATGTATTTATTGCCCTCCAAAACATATAAATTCCTCTGCCAACAATGACATCACTAAAGTATTAGCTGCACACTTTTATTTAATTTTAACATGTCAGCTCTTTCAACCTGATGATATCTAAATTGCATTCCTGGCAACGATGACTGATACGTCACTGAAATCAATCAAATGTGCAGAAAGATTGAGCAGGAGTCAAGAAGGTAAAAGTTTTCAGTTTGTTGGAAACTCTTAACTAAACTATTATTTTCAGCTTTCACAGTAACACAGTGTGAATGCATAAATGCTTCATTCCTCCATACAAGTCACCACTTACCAGTAAAAAGAAATTGTCCAACCACGTGTAAATGTCAAGTGAGTTGATAGATCCAAGCCAAGGTGCTTGGTACACCTGGTGCCCAGCTGTGAGCCCAATGTCTGTTACTGCAGGATGGGACATTGCAAAGGGGATACTGATCCACTGTAACCAAAGAGAAACACTCCGTTCAGGTCTAAAGAAGACGTTCTAAATTTGTGAAATTTGAATATTAAACCTGATCTAGTTTTATTCTTCTTGCATGCTACAGATTGAATGCCAAACTGCCAAGCTGACTTGCAGAAAAGTCAAGTTATATGCAGGTGGAACATCTCTGAAATCCAGAGGGCTTGGTAGTGGATAGCTTACACCTCTCCTGGAGACGGTGAGAAGAGAATTAATCAATGTAAATCACAAAATCAGCAGAGAAGACACATTTATACATCTTCATTTTATTTTCTCTGAACTCCTCATGTATTCTTTATGCTCTTTTCTGGACCAGATAGTAGAGAAATATTTACATATAAACTTGCATGTAATAGCATCAGGATTTGCCAGTTTACAGGCATGAGACATCACACCTGAAGGCTTGGGAATTTGTTCTTAATTCAATAAAAAACTATATCATGACAAGAGAGTAGTGATGTTGGTGCAATCCCAACTGTCTTCCTCCAAAACTCTCATTAGCCCAGAGTTACATTACTCTTCTGCCTTGAGGAGATCTTGGGATCCCCTGACCATTTTCAGTCTCTCTCTTTTTTATCTAGGCCAAAAAAACCTTTCCCAGAGACAGTTTCTGCCAGAAGGTCCATTTCCTTCTCCAACTGACTTTTTGTCATTGACTTACCAACTCATTTTGCAATGCTGTAACTCCCTCTCTATAGAGGAGAAACTTAGCAGATCCTACTGAGATGAAAGTCAGGCTTTGTGCTATAGGGGCTAGACCATCACAAGCACAACATCCCTAAGGATCCAATGACACCCAAACCCTCACAGATTGCTACAATTCAACTGATCACAGTATATGGGGGCAACATCAGCAAGGAAGGGAAAAATAAAACATCTTTCTCTAATTTGTTGCACAATTACTGCAATAATGTCTGAAAAATGTTTTGTAGCACTGCCTGTTATTCTGGCAGTTTATCACATAGAATAGGATTCTGTTCTGTTACATGTTAAACTTCAATTTAAGCAATTGGGCAGAAAGATTCCCTTCTCACTCCATGCTTCAGCTTCTCTGTGAAAGTTCACCAAAGTGTTTCAACTGTCTCCAGGATATTTTGAGGGAAAAAACCCCCATATTTTCGAAATAATAGATATTAATACTCTTATTGCTGAGAAATTAATGGGGAACAAGCATGCCAAAGGTTTTTTTTATTCTTGTTTCTGGATATCAAATATGTCTGACTGATGAGCTTCTGAACAGCTGTAGGTTGACCATACTCCACTGGCATTTTCAGTGTGGTAAATCTCTGAAAGTCCATCTGGAGTCTGCCTGCCACAACCCAGGATTTAGTAGGTACTGTATTGCAAACGCATTATGAGCTTTTGTAAGCCATTCCAGTTCCTGACAGTAATCTAGCTTTTTGTGGTCTCGAGGACTACTTTTATATTAGTAAATAAAACAAATCAAGATCCTTTCTCCAGCCCTGCAGTTTACTGGCATGTCATAGTTTACATCCATACATTTAGACTCCTTTTCCTGGCAAATACGACAAACCTGAACCATTTCTGGGAATTATCTGGGAAAACAGAGAGTTTAGAATGGGGAAGTAATAATACAGATGATATGAAGAGTCAGTAAATAGTGGAGATACAGTCAAGGAAAATCTCACCGGGCAAGATAAAGACAAAGAGATGAGAACTCTAAATGTGGATACAGGAGGGTGAGGAGAGTAGGAGAGACACTACATGAGATTGTAAAGAGAAAACCAAAGATGTACATCTGGCTAGGGTAGAGGTTATGGAAACCTAAGGAAGAAGTTGTGTCTGAAATGACGAGTCAGGGTAGGGAACAAAAGTGATTACAATAAGCATTTTCCCCTGGATAAGGAGCAGGAGAGAAACCAGACATTAGAGGAATTAGCAGTAAAGCTCTATACCAGCGGGAATAAAAACTGCTCCAGGGCCTGGAGGAGAAGTTGGGATAACTGAACCTGTGCCATCTTCTGCTGTGACATCTACTGTGAAAGCATCCCATCTCATCTAAAACTGCCTCACCTAGAGCACAACCATTTAGATACTGAGTCTTCCAGACTCACTGATGACACTCTAACGTTCATGAATGTGGTTTAATCTACCACAATTTAATAATTGATTATTTCAAATGGGAAACTACGTAAAGAACCCAACCTGAATTAAAAAGAACTCAATAAATCTACAGATCCAACCATTTAGAAGACTGCTATACAACCTTCATTTGCTTTTTCCTGCCTATCAGTTTCATACTTATTTTAATATTGTTATTCCCATGGGATCAGCTTCTTTAGCAGTGCAGGGGTTGATCTCACTGGAGAAGCATTTTTGATTTATCTAAAATTTTGGGAATTTTGTAATGCATTCCATCTGTAGAAAATGAATGTTTCAAATGAATGTTAGGGAAGGAGACAGTATTTTCCTTACTGTACAGGTGAAGAACAGAGGTATGAGGAAAGAAGATCTAGAATAACTTCTCATTTGAGGTGACCAGTTGGAACTTTGATTTGCTTTTTCAGGGTGTTTACCACCATTTCCATTAAGTCAGTTACAACAGGGAACGCTTAGCATTTCTGCAAGTAAGGCCATAGCCCTCACAGTAAGATACCACAGAGTGAGAACACACACAGAGCTGGTTAGTGACCACCTGGCTAAACCAATTTCCCTAGAGCTGCACAAGAACTCTGCTGAAAGTACAGAAAGATCTCCAGGTCCTCAAAATGCCATTTGGTTCCTTCATCCTGAGCCACCTCATTTATTTTAGCCTATCTCAGTTCTCTGCACACCTGTGACTATCTATTACTACCACTGGCAAACAAATACAGCAGCTGCTTTGACTGCACCCTGTTACATTGATATTTTTCAGTGTGGGGCTTAAAGAATAGAAGTAAATAAAAGGCTGCCCACTATCATTGATGCTGATGAGGGGATATTCAAACAACCATATTAAACCAGCCAAGACATCTGGTAAAACCTCCTGTATTATGGTCACCAAGGATGGTGGAGGGAAATGAGAGAAAACACAAGAAAGTTAGCTAAGTTAACAGGAGATTAACTAAGCTGCATGACTGGGTAACAACCACAGAAAAGAGAGGCAGGAGACTATCAGCTCTGCAGGTCCAATGCCAGTATTTCAGGACTACTTTACCAATTGCTTCCTATGTCTGATGCTTTCTTCCAGTGCCTGCGTCACAGTCCCATGGACAGACAGGGAAGGAGTCAGCTCCAGTCCTATTCTGAGTTAGATATATCCTCACCAGGAAAATTGAAAGAGAGTTTGCACGATCAGACTGGTTGGAAAGAAAGCCAAAGAAACAGACCTCTTGGGCAACATTATTTTCAAAACACAGACTGTATGTTGAGGCAAATGCAGACTCTTAAAGTCAGTCTCCACTGTGAGTGGAGATATTCCTTTTCCATGTTTTCAGCAAAGGAGATTCCAAAACCAAAGCTGAGAAACAGGTCTTAGCAATCATCTTAATGCTCAGGGCAAAATCCTCAACAAAGAAGGAGAAAAACCACAAAACTTACCAGTCCTAGGAAGATGCAGAAGAGCTGAACTACATCAGTGTAGGCCACAGAATAAAGCCCACCCACAAGCGTGTACATAGTTGCAATAAGGGCAGAAATAATAACTGAAATATTGACATTAATGTCAATGATCACACTTATAGTTGCACCTAAGGAGAAAACCAAAGTACTGTGTGTTAGTGTAAGTCTGATGTTCTCACCTTTGTTAAGTTGCGTATATAGGTACTGGTCCGACACTTAATAACAGCACTAATATATTCCCCCCTCTGCACATCCCTTCTGCACCTTTGAAGGGAGTGGGAAAAAGGAGGCTCCTGTTGATCCAAGTTTAGCATCTGTCATTTTGCAGGTTCTTAAAAAAATTAGAACAGATGGGTCCCAACAGCCTTTCCTTACAGTGCTCAAACTCTGTAAGGACTACACTCTCTTGTTCGGCCTGGGGAAAAGCAGCTATGCACAGACAGCTGAAGCTTCCCTGGGTGAGAAACAGTCACATGGGAGCAAGTGTATCTTTGCAGTAAAGGCTTGACTCGGGGATGTCTGCTGTATCTCATTTATGCTGTGAGCTAGCTGCTTTTGGCCAAGGAAGGAATGGTAGAGAAAGTATCTGCTAAAATGTACATTGACACTTCTAAAGTGCCCTTGAATTGTTTATGTGAGACAAAAGTGGGTTTCTTTGCAAACTGCAGAATCCATCCTCCAGTATTCACTCAGAAATCAAGAACTTTTCCAAGCATCATCAAGAAGATTTCATTTGCAGAAAACAAATCACAACGTCGAGCTGACCTCAAAACAGCTCACAGAATCAAAGAGTTGCTGACACTGAAGAACACCTGTAAGGATTGTCTCTTCCAAGTCCCCACTCAAGCAGTGTCAGATGAAGTAGGCTGCTCAGGATCACGTTCAGTCAGGTCTTGACCATCCATAAGGGTGGAGACTCCACAGCTTCTCTGTGCAGTCTGTGACAGTGGTTGATCTCTCACATTGTTTAAAGAAAAAGGAAGTTATTTTTAAGTTTAAATGGAATGTCATGTAGTTCTTTTTGTGCCTATTTCCTCTTGTCCTGTCTTTGGGCAGCACAAATTATTAATCTTTATTATTACTATTATTAATCTTTGCTTTAATCAGTGATGTATCTCTGGTATGGCCACGCCTCTTGTATCAGGGAGCATTGGATCCAGTACTCCAAATGTGCTCTCAACCTGCTGGCAATGGTCCTCCTAATGCAGCCCAGGATGGCATTGGCTTTCTTTGACACAAGGCCACATTGCTGGATAATGGTCATCTTCACTGCCTTCTAAGATTCCCAGGTCTTAGCTGTAAACGTGGTTTCCAGCTGTTTAAGCCTCAGCCTGCACTGGAACATCAGGTTGTACCTTCCCATGTACGGGACTTACCATTTCTTTTTGTTGAACTTCACAAAGTTCCTCTTGGCCCAGTTTTGCGGTTTCTTGAGGTTCTTCTGAAAGGCATTACAACCATCTGGCCTATCAGTAACTCCTCACAATTTTTAATGTTCTGCAAACTAGCCAAAGGTGCACTTGGTCCCATCAGCAAGGTCATTAATGAAAACATTGCATAACCAGGAGTCAGTACGGACCTCTGGGATGGACAATTGGTGACCGGCCACCTGGTGGTGGCCATGCTGTTGGTCACAGGCCTCGCAGCCCAGGAGTTGAGCCAGTTCTCAATCCTCAATTTCCTCCTCATTGTCCACTCTTCTAGTCTGTACTTCACCTGTTTGTCTATGAGGATGTTATAGGAGATGGTGTAAAAAACCTTTTTTGAAATCCACAACATGCCCTGTTCTCTCTTTGTTTACCAAGCCAGTCAGCTCACCACGCGAGACATCAGGGTGGTCAGGAATTGTTTCCTTTCCATAAATTCATACTGACTACTCTCAGTGCCCTACTTGACCTTTATTTGCTTGAAAGCAGCTTCCAGGAGTATTTGCTCCATCACCTTCCCAGGGACTGAGGTGAGGCTGATCAGCCTTTAGTTCTTGCCCTTCTTGAAGATGGGAGTGATATTTGTTTTCTTCCAGTCTCCAGGAACATCTCTGATCACCACAGTCTCCAGAAGATTACTGAGTGTTCTTGCAATGTTATCAGCCATCTCCCACAGCACTCACAGTTTGCATCCCATGAAACTGTGTCTGTCCAGTGTATTTGAATGATTCCTAACTTGATTCTCCTCCAGCAAACCTTCCTTGGCTTCTTAGGATCCTGGGATTCCTGAAGGCTAGTCTTACCAGCAAAGAATTAAGCAGAGAAGGCTCTGAGTACCTCAGCCTTTTCCACATCCTTTGCCACCAGGTGCCCCATCCCACTCAACAACAGTCCACATTTTCCCATTTGTCAGGATGGACTGTTCTTGAGCTTGGAGAAAGTAACCGTTGAATACCAAACAACTCTTCTGAACTCCTCTCCAGGACCATCTCCCATGGGATTCTTTCAAGTAGAACCTTGGAGAGTCCAAGCTCTACTCTTCTGAAGTCCATTGTTGCAGTCCTGATTTTTGCCTTGTTCTCCCTTCTCAGGACCATGAGCTTCACCATCTTGTGAACACTGCAGCCAACTCTGCCTCTGACCATCACATCCCTAACTAGTTCTTCCTTGTCTGTAGGTAACAGGTTCAACAGAGCACCCTCATCAGCTCCCTGATCATTTGTAAGGAAGTTGTTAGTGCACTCAGCAAATCTCCTGAATAGCTTGTGTCCTCCTGCATTGCCCTTGCAGCAGCTATCAGAAAGGTTATACATCTCTTTTAGATGTATTAGCTATTTCAAGTGATTACAAAATATTTCAAAACCATGCTAAAAAATTTCTCTCTCTCTAATTAGGATGATTTAAGTGAAACATCTTGCAACAACTTTTAGCCGTTGCAGCTATTGTAAATGGATACTCTGGAGCCCACAGCTGGAAGAGTTCTGGCCACAGAAGACAACAACATAATATAAGAGTGATATAAAAGAGTTTCTGGGAGCTGACAGGTGTGGTTTTTGCTGTAAAGTGAGCCTTCAAAGTTCACGTGCTTAGGGATAACAAGCTCAGATCTCTTTCACAAGTTATAAGACCTGTTTCCCTTCTACAACCTTGCCGAGCAAGGGGTCATGATGAAGTATTGAAGAGCACTGGGATTAAACATTCATCAATGAGGATAGGTGTGCAAATCAGGAGACATAAAAATTAGTCACAGAATAGTTAAATCAAAATCTTCAATAAGCTTCATAATCTTTAACTGTCAGCTGTTGATATAAATCTAGAAAGGCACTCACACCACTTGCATTGAAATAAAACAGAATGGTTTGTCCTCAGTCAAAAATATTCCAAAAATTCTGAGTGTTCTTCAAGTTATTCAAGTCCTATCACCTCAGCATGCAGTCTGTTCTTGGTCTTTTAAGGGTTTTGTGATGAAATTGTGGTAAAAAAGCTTCCCCATTGCTTTGCAGTTCATCACAGCACAGTTGGAGAGTACCTTCAAAGTTTATTTTTTGTTTAAAATAGCTTATGCTAGAAAGCGTTACCACATGCATGTGCATTATTAGTATGATTAGCTGGTGAAAGTCAATTACTGGTGCTTCAACTCAAGGGCTTTCTCAGTTCTTGAAGGGATTGCTAAATTCAGGCCTGAAATATAATTAAAACCCCTGGAAGTTGATTTTTTTTCAGGACTGGATGAGTAGTTGGGTGATTTTCTATTGAGTCATAATTTCACTAATTCTCTGAATCCTTGCTTGAATCCTAAGTATTTTCTTCATTTTGTCAAGAAGAAAGGCATTTAGAATTGAAGAATTCTTTAATTTATTGATCAGCATCTGGTTTACTTCTATTATTTGCGTTATGGAAAGTTCTGTATATGTACGTAGTTCTCCTATAAGCAAAGGATTATTTCATTTAGATGCATTGGCAATGATGCTACACGTTGTTAAGGGAAATTTTGACTGGCTTCTGTGATCGCAGTGGTGTAAAAGAAAAGCTGGGTCAGACAACACAAAAGGGGCACTTCGGTTCACTCAGATCATCCTCAAAATTAAAGGAAATTTTTTGCTAAATCTTTCCATGCTCTTTGAAGAGGGACAACTTAAAGGTACATGAAAAGGATTATATACCTTGCACGTCTTTCCATTATCAAAATAATTAATGGGGTACCATTACTAGATTTAATTACTAGTTAGCGTGGGTCTTAGAACTGTCACACTCTGAATCATTTGGCTTGAATAGTTAGCATTTGAAGCCAGAATTTTAATGCATTTCTGATATTCCTAATATTTTCTACCTGTGATAAATGAATATTTATACTGCTTATTCCTTACCTAAGGCAGCGAAGATGGCAGCAGCCCAAAAAATTTCTCCCATTAAAGCTGGAATAAACAGTAGTCCTCCCATCCTTTTTCCATAAAGCTGCTGAAAAGGGTCTAGCATTGTCACATAGCCTTTCGATCGCATGGGTTTTGCAAAAAAAAGGCCTCCTGCAAAGAAAAACAGCATAAGACATCAGATGCAGTTTAGAAATGCATTGCTATTAAGGCATAAAACATCAGCAATACTGGGGTTTTATTGTTTCTTTCTTTGTTGTTTCTTTTTGTTTGTTTGTTTGTGGGTTTTTTTGTTGTTGTGTTTTCTTTTAAAGTAAAAAGTACAATTAAAATATCCTCTGGGAACTCTTACCTTTCATTGGTCTACAGAGTTACACACCCTTCCCCCCATTAATGTCTATAGTCTGACAATAAAAAATAATTTTTTTTCTTATTTTGTCTGGTTCAGTTTATGTAATCTGCCATTATGGATGCTGTCGGAGTTTAGTCTAATTTTGGATCAGCCCGAGGTAATGGCTTTCTACGTAATCCTGTTGATTCTTAGAGCAGAATCTATCCAGCATGAATTTTCATACAGCCCTACTCTAAAAATAAAACTGTCTGAGATTCCTGCATTAAAAGTACAAGTTCACACGTAATTTAGGATATACACCAAGTTCACACGTGGTTTAGTATATACACAGCAAATCTAATTCTTTCAGGACAATTCAGATTTATTCTGTATGCTTTAAACAACCTTGCTACACCTGCAGGGTAGGTCAGAGATGGTCTGGGTTCTGCAGATATCAGTTTCCCTGAATGTTTGTCATACACTTATTTCAATAATGTACATTCAGAAATTTTGCTGTATCACAGTTCTGCTCCACCTGCCTTGTATATGGGCTGGATATGTACATAAATATGCAAAGGCCTCCCCTCCTCAAATTCTTTCTGGCTTGGGAAAAATAAAGGACATATCTCAGTAAAGTTGAAAGAGCACTTGTATGGAAACCTGTTTAGTTGAGATCTGCACATGACTATAACTAAGTAGACTTCTACCACAGTAAAAATGCTTTATAAGGTTCAATAAAAGACTGGTAAACCAGTCAGTTCCCAATAAAATCTACTGTAAAGTATTTGGCAACCCTTAATTGGGTTCTTTATCACAATATATGTAATGCATTTATGCTATAGTGCAGAAGATTTTCCACATTTCTATGTACTGGCTTTTATTACTCATATTTCTCCATTACATTAGGTTCCCTGGACAGAAAGTACTGGCTTAACAATCACAGTTTATACTGCTCATGTGAACATTGTCCTTAGGTGGATAGATGCAGCATTTTTTACTATAGTTGCATTAGTAATGGATCCCTTTCCTATTCTACTTTTTATGCCATCATTACAATAGACAATTAAAGTAGAAAAACAAAAAAGTCATTGGTATTATAATCTGTCATGATGTTCAAGCACCTGTCAAGAGAAATAGGAGATATTGCAACCTTTTAAACTAAATTGATTGAAAAATTAGGAAAAGTGGTATGGAGATCAACATGGAATAAACAGGGAGATTATATCAATTTTAAATCCTTCCAGTCCGAAGCAGTAATATTTCTCCTGGAATTGTATTTGTAATTTTGATTATTTATTTTTTTAAAGAAGAAAAAACACTCCACTCAAAACTTTGTGTACAGCTCATGCCTACAGAAACACTTTCCTCTCTGTGCTCAGCAGAGAGATCTATGGTCCCATGATACAGACTTCTTCACTCTGCTGTGGCCATTGCAATTTCCAGGAAAACAAGTCTGGATATCTAAAAACGTCTGGAAATGAGCAGAGAAGCTAACTCAACCCCTTCTGCATTCTACTAATAATTTGTATCAGTTCTACAAAGGCTGAGATTCAGCAAGATGCTTGTGACTACAATCCCAACAACTGCTTAATGACATCGATGGATCATGACCAGCATGACCTCATAATGACATAAAGTGATCTCTGGGCAGACAACCACTGTTATTATTTTCATTACAGGAAATGGAGCTATTCTCAGGGATGGGAACCACTACTGGAACTGGAGCTGGCCTGCACGTGCCAGAGAGGAACATCTACAGTGGGTAAAGCTTCTGCCTGGGAAGAAAGGATAACTAGGACAGGTCATTGGAAAGCATTTTTAAGGGAAAAAAAAATAAGGAGGGAAAACAAGCTGTATAGGAAGAAAAAAAGTACTGTGAAAGAAGATCTGGATAAGCACCCAAAGGAAACAAAGGGAAAACCATGAGAAAAGACTCAGAATATACAGAGAGATCAAATAATATTAGAAAAGCCAGTAGCACACTGGGCACGTTAAGGAAAGATGAAAAACACAGTATCTTTTTTGTAACAACATGCTTTTTAAACACTTGCATCATTACTTTAGCATTAATAATTATAATGCTGTTTGTGTTTTACACAGGATTGTGTAGCAGGATTGTGTATTTGCATTTTGCCATGTGATCTGGAGTTTTGTACTGCATTTAAGAGGATGCATGGTCCAATTTTAAGGAAAGAATCTGGTTATACTACAGACTTCCTACACAAAATTAAAAAAGTTAGGTACACTCTTGGTGGAGACCTATAAAGTATAAGCACTTCCCTAAACTGAAAGGATATTTGTCTTTCTTGAATTCCAAGATTATAGGTGCCCTGATACCTGGGCACCTGGGTCATGGTACAGATCAAGTAGACACTTAAAGGAAACCCAAATATACAAAACTTGGTATATGTAATTTAAATACTATCCCCTCCCCAAAGACAATATGGTTGTAACAGTCAAATAGATCTTGACAAGGAGTCCAGAAGACTTAAGGTATCAAACTATTTTTAGTTATTTTCTATTTTCTTTTCAATAGCTAAATGTACTGGCAGAAGTCCAGTTTATGTCAGCATCCTTTTATCAGACCCTAGTTTCAGTTCAAATAATGGACTTTTCAGCAGAACTATTTAAACTGAGAAACTATTAGTTTCAGTTAGTCTTTGCTTACCTAAAATCAGGCTAAGGGAATATCCAATAGGTGCTTGAGCCCAAGCTAGACCGTAGCCTGGGACATACACAGCTTCTGCTGTTCCATTGATGTAACCTCCTCCTACCCATGTGGCTGAAAAGAAAGAGATGGAAAAGTCGTTAACGAACACAAAGAAAGAAAAGTTCACACATGGTATAATGAAACTGCCATTACTTATAATATTGTTATTTTTTTATTACATGTACTGTACAAGTGCCAGGCATGGCATCATTCTATAAAAGGCAGGCCTAATTTGAAGTTACAACTTAAGCATATGAAAAAAGAAGTCAATGGAACTGAGACAATCATCAAAGTGTCTAAGTCTCTGTATAGTCAGTGAAAGTGTGAGGGCTGAGTCCCCCATTATGTATTTACCATTACTATTTTCTTTGTGTAAGTCCAAATGACAGAGAGACGTAAGGGGGGATCAGAAGAAGAACAGTAAACACATAGTGAAAAAGTCATCACAGATGGGAAAACTCAAATAATTTAAATTAGGCACGAGTTTAATCAAATTGCCTTGTTAACTTTTAAAATTGTTGTTCCATGAAGCACATTCAGTAAACTCTGAGTTCTCTAAATATTTCTATACAGGGTTGTGGTGCTTTTTTGTTGCTCTATAAGTTCTAAACATTGACTCATTTATTTTTTTGTCTTCCTGAAGACATACTCTATAAGGAAAACATGTTATCTGCAATATTTCTGATTTTCTCCCTCTCTCTAAAAAGCAGTCTTTTTAATATAGCAATCTCTGACACTTAATGAATTGATTATTTGCCTTTAAGGGAAATTTCTACACTTGAGAATTTTGGACCTTCAGTACGTATGAGAGAAAAACTCCAACATAGAAATGTATTGCAATTACATCTGCAAAAATATTTCATAAGAAATCACATAATAAGGTTATCTCTTCCTGTTTGCAGATTCCATGCAAAACCTTTTTGATTTTCTCTAATGTATAATGAATATATTTTATGAATCTAGGTTTGTAGTTTGAACAAGGGCAGAAAGATCATTACAAGTCCTAGGTTTTTGTAATACTGTTTTGATTTGCATCATATACCTTTAATTCCTTATATAAAAGTAGCTCAGGCTTTCTGTGTAAACAGTCACGATTGTTAGAAATGTATTTTCCTTAAACGTTCTTCACAATTTTCCCATCATCCACCATTAAACAAGCAAACTTGATTTTGTGTTGAAGACAAAAATTTGGAGAAAAACGCAAATGAAGAAAATTTAAAAAAATTCCCTCAGAAATTTCATTAAAATCTAAATTACCACTCTTTTCCACTTAACTGTGATATTTCCCAAGTAATACCAGAGGGTATTTTGCTGAATTTCACCATGGATTTAGAAATAAAGGTCTCTGGCAACCAGAGCATTACAACACTTAAACACTTCCAGGGAAAGGGCATCCACAGCTTTCCTGGGCAACGTGGTCCAGTGTTTCACCACCTTCACACTAAAGAATTTCTTCCTTATATCTATCTAAATTTATTCTCCTTCCATTTAAAACCATTACCCCTCATCATAACATACCCTGATAAACACTCCCTCTCCACCTTTCTTGTAAGACCCCTTTAGGTCCTGCAAGGTTGCTATGAGATCCGCACAGATCTATCTCTTCTCTGGGCTAAACAACCCCAAATCTCAACCTGTCCTCTTACAGGGGGTGCTTCAGCCCTGTTATCTTTGTGGCCCTCCCCTGGACTCATTCCCACGGGTCCAAATCTTTCTTATGCTGGAGGCCCCAGAACTGAACATGTTACTCCAGGTGGAGTCTCATCAGAGAACAGCAGAAGGACCTGCTGGCCTGATCTCTTTTGGTGCAGCCAAGGGTGTGATGAGCTTTTTGAGTTGTGAGTACACATCGTTGGCTCGTATTCAGTTTTTCATTTACCACTATCAAGTTATTCTCAATAGGATTTGAGAATCCACTCATCAACCAGTCTGTAAGCATGTTTGGGTTTGCTCCAATCTAGGTGGAGCACCTTACACTTGGCCTATCACAGGCCCACCTAGAAAAGCCTGTCCAGAACCCTCTGCATGGCATCCCTTCCCTCTAGATTATCAACCACAGCACTCATCTATGTGTCACCTGAAATCTTACTGAGGGTGTACTCAATCCCACTGTCTGTGTCCCTGAAAAAGGTGCTGAATAGCACTGGTCCCAACAGGAACCTCTGAGGGCCACTACTTGCTACTGATCTCCACCTGGACACTGAGTTGTTGAACATTAGGTCTGTGACTATCTGGGATGCCTATTGTGTCTCAAGCAGCACACTCGTATGGCATAGGCTGTAAACACCTCTATACAATATTAAAAATAAATACTTAGGAATTATATTTGTCTCCTTCCCTGAAAATGCATGAGCACGAATTCTGCTTGAATGGTACTCAGTTACAGGCAGGGAATAATATCCCATAGTCAAGGACAGATGTCCAGCATTGTTGCAGCTGTGGTGCAAGGGAGTTTCAAGTTCCAGCAACGACTTAGTTGGGCTTGCTACAGAGGTGGCAGTTGTTTTGCCAAGTGCATTTGGATGCTATGCTTAGCTGCTTTATTTTCTTTTGGAGAAGAAAAAGTCAATTCCCTTCTGTGTGATGTTGCAGAGGTCATTGCTCTCCCCTGGCTGGGGACAGGAACAGTGTCCTGCAGGCAGACATTGCATAAGGTGGAATGGAGGATTCAGCCCTTATTTTTAGTTTCTTGATTTCTGGATTGGAGTTTGAAAAATAGCTGCTGATCAATTTTTCTGTGCACACGACTGTACTGAAACATCTGTCAAGGACCACAGAGCTCTGCAAAGGTCTCAGATGTCTTGTTCTGAGGGGGTGAATGGGTAGTCAGCACATGCATTGACAGAGGTAAATACATTAGAAACGAAATAATGGGATGGGATTTCAACCTGAGATATTAATTTTCTGATCCTCAGTTTGCTAAGCCACAATTTAAAGTTGGTTTAATACCTTTATTTTTGGTGAAATTATTTTTTTTTTCATAAATTGGACAAAAGGAATATAACGTTTAGTAATCTATGGAAGCATTCATGCGGTGATATATTTTAATCTTCTCTTTGCCTGCTATCTGAAGAACCAAAAAACACAGCAAATACCAACATCCATTTAAAACATGCACCCTATGATGCAAATACTGAGGACATGGAGTGCAATTCTACTCCTAGTTCCTATGAGGCACACAGAAGTTGATCTCAGACTCCTTTATATATATCAATATATACTAGAAAACCAGATATTTTGGCACTTCTTTGAGAATAATCTGCTGATTGTCTGACCACTCATTATTTAATAAACTCATTACGTTCTGTAAAATGAAAATCCTGACCCACGGATTACAACAAAAAAGAATGAAGAATGTTGTAAATTTTTTTGTTTGTTTGTTTTGTTTTCTTATGGAAAGACCCATAGTCTATCCAACTAAAATGAAAAAATTACATCAATAGATTATTACGTTTTGGGTCATGTTTGTGAGCATTTGGTCATGTCATGTCAAATGTCTCCTTTGGGGTTTAAACTCAATCACCAAAATCAAGACAGACTCAACTTTGTTGCAGTCTTAATTCCTCTCAAGAATTTAATTCACAAAATAAGAAAGGCTAATATTTAATGTAACATTTTATCTATAATTATGTAAAAATATACACATTAAATGCATGTCTTCTATGGTAAGGTGTTAGTTCATTTTAGTATGAGCTGCTGTGATCCATCCACAATTCAACCTTTTCACTCTTTATATTTTCATAGTTTCAGATACACTCAACCTTCAACAGGCTTTGTGTTTAGAATTTCAGTAGCGAGTTGATACAGCTGCTTCTTCAGGATTATAGAATATATTTAAGTATATCCATAGCTGTTATTCAGAGGTAGTGCTTTAAGATTTTTCAATGCTGTTTAGAGAATCAACTACAATTACTCAGGAATCTTGAGTTTGATGCTTATGCTCCAAATTGTATTTCAAATTCGTAGGCTAAGTGCTGTCATCCTCCCCACTAAGTAGCCCTGGAAACCGCTACCACTTCCGTAGCCAATATCCATGGAACATTGTAGTGTTTGTCTCAGGAAAGACAGAATTAGGCCTTATCTCATAACCCAAAATGCTTCACATCCATACAAACAATATTCTTTCTGGGGCTCTTTTAAAAAAAAAAGTCTTGTTTCCCTTTTACAGGGTAGACTTTGTTTTTTAGTCCATATTTAGATAACTAAACCTGTAAAATATAACGACAATGTTGGGATACTCCTGTATCTATGTTTGTGAGGTGCAAAATCTGCATCTATCATTTTTTAAGAAGCAAAGTATACCCTTTAGGAATGTGACCGTTTTGTAAAAATTAGAAATCTGTAAAAAATATTACATATTTTGATCAGCTTACTTTCATAATTGTTTTATCACAACTTTACAAATTGAGTGTCCCAAAAGCCCTCTCTGATACAAAACTCGAACTAACCCCTGGTTTAGGAGATTTGTGCCTACATCCAGCTTTATGTGCCATGTGTGGCTCCCTGCAACTGAAAGAGCAGTTTAGTTGCCCTCTCAAGCTTTAATTGACACATCTAATGAAGGCATAGGAGAGAAAGTGTGTAAACCCTTACAGTATAAAATCCATCAGAGCTTTAGCTATCCAAAGGCTTTGAGACAAGTCTAATATTCTACTGCAGAGATGAGATACTCTGCCATCCCTAGAGCTTCCATGAAACAGAATGAGCTCGTGTGGATGTGAATTGTGGTGGCTTTAGTAATTGCCTGCAAATAGGAAGACCCAGTTCAAGTCTCATCTGTGCTTCAGCTGTTACACAAAATACTCCTGTAAAATAGGATTAAGGAGATGAGAATTTGTGTCTTTTTGATGCAAAGGCATTAGTTATAACCACTTCTGTGGGGCATGCCTCATTTATCTCCACTCCCTCCATCTAATGTTTACTGTTTTGTGAAAACCAGTATTTCTGCAAAATACTTTTGTTTCAATGCTCTTGAAAATGTTTCATTCATCAGAAAGCAGTCCAGCAGCTCTAGTTATGAGCAATCTCATATATCTTATGCTTCAGTAGCTGATGGATATGCAGTAAATTACAGCCAAGTGCAAAAAGTAGAACTGAATGTATTCAAACTTTATTGATTTTTACAAGTATTCTTTATTTAATATCTAAATATTCAGTCTTTGAATGAGCAAAATGCCCCTCCAAAAGGATGAGAATTTATCTCGATTAAAGAATGCAGAATTTCGGCCCAAGTTTTACGTGGCTCTTCCTTACTAGATGACTCTGAAAACAGATTAGGGCAAAACTGCAAAACATAAATACAACCTGATAAATTCAATTTGACAATTGAAAGGGCTTTGCCTGAATAGGATTTAGATTAAAAAAAAAAAAAAAAGCTATGATTAAAAATTCAATTGCCTTAATAAAAAAGGTGGGCCAATTTACTCTTCTCATAATGCATTTCTGTTGCAATACCATAACGTAAGTTTTGAGATTTTGGACTGCATTGTGAATATCTTATTTACCCAGGGAAGGTAGCTGATGTGACTGGCTCTGGGAAGTCAGACAGCACTGCTCACAACATTAGTGAAGAACTCTTCATTCACCCAGGTTTTTCTTACTGATACTACTATTGATAGTAATGCATTAGTTTTTTCAAACTGCTGCAGAAGAAGCTGAAAGAATCCACGAAGTAAATTTGCTGAAATCTGTAGAATTACAAGTTTGGAATTACACCAATTTTCTTTTAGAAAGTTAATTGATGCTGCACACCCTCTTCCCCCCCCCCCCCCCCCCCCCCCCCCCCCCCCCGGCTTTTTCCCTATAAGCTTGTTGTTACTCAGATTAAAAAAAAAAACCAACCAAAAACAAAACAACAAACAAACAAACAAAAAAGCGCGCAAATTTGGATGGCTTTACAACAATAACTTAATACTTATTAATCTATACTAATTCCATACTTCAGTCCTGAACATATCTGATCCACAGATAAATACAGAAGCAATGAACACGAATATTAATATATTCTTCCTGTATGATTTAAAAATATTTGTTGTTTTATGCAGATGCTACATTTGGCTGTTCACTAGACAGTTGGATAAAAAGTATATGTATTTTCTCCATTTTACATTATTCAACATGCAGGTTACACTTCACTCAGATGGAAAACTGACAAGTTATACACGGGCTAAGAAAAAAAAAAAAAAAAGAGTGCTTTTTACATACCGGTCATTGTAAATCCACCAACTAGCAAGCCAATGTCTCTTCCACCAACTATAATAGCTTCGCTGCGATCTCCTTCACTGCCGGTGTTCTTGGTTTTCCAAGCAGCCCATATCCCTACTGCCAGGATAGCCAGGTAGAAGACAACTATGGCCACCAGTCCCTCCACATGGAAAGCCATGTTGAAGTCCCAGCTGTTTCTTTCACTGCTATTTCATTAAGACCTCTGGAGAGAATGAAAGAATAGGTCTGCTTTTAACAAACCTGACTTTTAGAATCCGTGTACAAAAAAACCTCAGATGGTTATTCTGGCGAATTTATGACATGAGAATTTCAGGTGTAATTTGAGATTAATGTTACGCGTCAATTAAAATGCCTGTGGAACAATAACCAATGGCTGTAGCCTCCGATCACAAAGGGGAATGAAAGCTACACTATTCTTAGAAATCAGCTATTGAGCACTGATTTTTTTTAGTGTCACCAAGTTCTCAGTGTCTGGGAACTCTTCAGCCTAGGAATACTTTGGTACAGAGAATAGAAAAACTTGGCCATATGGGCTATTACAAAAGTGTCTACTTTGAAGACAAGCCACAAAACTGCTTTAAGTTATATAAGAAGTATGGATAAGTAACAGCTAAAACAGCAAAATACATCTTTTAAGTCTTTGTGTTGGAATGCTGAGTCTTTTCCCCTTTCTATCATCACCAGTATTTTAAAATCTACGCTTTCTTTTTTGCAAACGTTTAATTGTCCAGCATGAAAAGTATCAGTCTGTTCTCTCTCTCAGTCTGAGAAGCAAACGGAAAGCTTACAAGCTGTCGGACGGCAGAAATGTCGAGGTACACGAACTACAGCGAGGGGAAAACTCCCGAGCGACTCGGGCAGCGGCTGCCCCGAAACAGCCTCTCCCGGAGCCCCCTCCCAACCTCGGCCCGCCGCTCCGCAGTCGCTCCCGCACGGCCGCGCCGGCGAGACCCGTCCGCGCTCCCGACGGCTCCCGCGGACCATCCCTACCTACCGGGAGGCTCCGCGGAGGCGCCGCGCCCTCATGCGCGGCCGCGCATCCCGCCCCGCTCCCGCGGCAGGACCGCCCGCCCCGCCCGCCGCCCCCGCCGTCGGGCAGGGAAGGGTGTCCGTGCCCGCCGCCCACCTGCGCTCCGCCGCCGCGCTGCCCCGCACCCCGCGGGGCACGGCCGCACATCCCGCGGGGCCGTGCCGGGGCCGGGCTGCAGGGCTCTTTGCCCCCGCCCGGGGTTTCCCGGTTGGCGGGGGCAGGGAAGGAGCAAAGGCAGGATCGTCTCTTTCCCCTCCGATGCCGGCGGTGCGCCGAGTGCTGAGGCTGCGACGGGGGGCTCGTGGATTAAAAAGAGGAAAATCCCTTTATAAAGGAGGAGGGTTCAGTGGGGTGAGAGGACCGTGTCCGTCAGAGCTAGGGGGAGGAAGGGGGAAAGACGTCAGAGTGCTAGGGGACGTTGTGGGGGGAAGTAAGGATGACTCAAGGGAGACTGATTGTCGTGTCATGGCAGTGAAGCAGGGTTAGGAAGTGGAATTGGGGTGAGAAAACAAAAGGGAATGAGGGGAGACAGGAAGGAACAGGATCATGCCAAACCAATGGGAAAGAGGAAGAAAAGAAAGGGCTGATCTAAAGAGACATGCTGAAAAGAGAGGTAAAGGAAGGGGAGAGAGTGGGGATTAGAGAGAGGGAAGGTGAGCTCTGTGCTCTCTATGCTCTCCTTGGCACCCTTCCCACACCATCCCTGGGCCTAGCATTGAGCAAGCACCAAGTCAAGGCATGTCTGTGAGAGGCTGGTCAGGACCATCTTTCCTCACAGCTCCCTTCCAAACCTGGTTAAACATGCATCGCCTTTTCCCAGATGCAGGACAGCTAGGTCTTGGGGAGTCTCCATTTTTTTGCCATGCTTCTCATAAACATCATCTGCAGAGCTTTGTTAATACAAACTTTCCTGTTATAGGACTCTTGCTCTCTGTCTCCAAATGATGCTGGACAATGAGCCTCTGAATACTATGACTAAGGGCATGTGCAAAGAAGACCCCCACGTGCTCTTGCCCTAGTTTTTACAAAGAGAAGATCTTGCTGAGCTGAAGCTGTCTCAGCTCTTAAGAGGCAGTTAACATGGGCCATTGGCTCATGCAAGTTGAAAAGTCGAAATAAAAAGCCCACAGGAGTACAGAATTGCTATTGGCAAAAGAACCAATTTAAAGCAGAAAATATGAAGTCATGCTAGACTCAAGAGGAAAGCTGTACTATGGGAAGATGTAAAATCAAAGAGGAGGAAGGTGGCAATTCAAGAAATCTCAGCCCACTGCAAGAAACAACCCAAGGGCTGGCACTTTCCTGCATATTTGCCAGCTGCCTGGCCTGCCTGGCTGGCAGAGTGGTTTTGTCTGCCTGGTCACGAACTGCTGAGCACATCACACCACACTGGCCCCAGCCATTTATTACGTGCATCACGCACAATAAATTATATGATTGCATACTCATAAATTGATTGTGTACATAAGGTTGCTTTCAAGTCTGGGCTCAGTTGAAGGAGCCCAAATAAAGGTGGCCAAAGAATTAAAGGTTAGAAATGTTACTATTTTTGTCAGCCAAACTCGTGGGTTGTTAAGTGATGCCAGTGATGCAATGTTTGCTTTGGGAGTGCACAGTAAAAATCTCCTCCCAGTAAAAGGCAACTGAGACACTTTATACACAGGTGAGCATTAAAGCATCACCTAAACCAAAATCCTGTCATAAGCAAACACCACAATATAAATAGAAGGTAGAAGTCATACACCTTGCAAATGATGTTGAGAGTGTCTCAATTAAGAATAAACAAACAAGGTCCAGAAATTAAAATGTGATAGAAAATCCTTGGATGCTAAAATGAGTGTTAAATTAAATTCACACAAAGTTTTAATTAAAGAAGTCATGACAACACAAAGCATGGCTCAAGTCTGTCTGAGGCAAATTCAAAAATTGTTGACCTATGGAAAAGAATCCTTTCTTAGATTAAATCCCAACTTTAGTCTTCACTGAAGACTATAATTAATTCCTTTTGTCCTTAGTAGGTCATATTAACACTTGTCTATGGCACTGGAGTGGGGAAACTACTTTTAAAAAATAATTATTTCCAGAAAATAATTAAAATTTAATTATATTCTGATGAAAATTCATTAAAACCTATTCTGAACATCTATTATTTTTAATTTGTGTAGACTCCTTGGACAAATTTTGGCTCTTTGGTACTCAGGAGTGGTTTGCAACCTTCCACTCAATGAATCAGTTGTGCTGACCAAGTTTTACCTTACGTGTGTACTCTACTCCTGTAGTTGCTTAACTACAAATAAGTTAAATCGTACATTCTCTCATGAGATATCCACTTAAACTATAGGTTCCTTGAGTTGATAAGGCCTTGAGTTTTGAAACCATCTTCACCTGGATGTAGCTGAGAAGGTCTGATACAATTATTTTAGTGAATATTAATTGATTTATTAATTTACTATCCCTTCTTTGCTCAAACACTGCTATTATATCAGGTAGTTTCCTAATGCTTTCTTTTGGGAAAGGACCCTGCTAAACTGGATCCCTGTGTGCGTTTTCCCAGCTGCACCCCAACAGCATCCATCACCCACAGACATACACAAAGCTCATTTTTTGTGATATCTGAAGATGTGCACAAATGAGTACCAGTAAATTTTATGGTTCTTGGGAAAAGATCTGCTTTGGTGCCAGAGATACTATGTGCAACTGCAAGACAGATTCCATACTAGACCTGACTCCATTTCTAAAGAGAACTGCTATTGAAATGCATAGAACTGAGGTCATCTTTTCCAGAAAAGTAGTAGTTAACTGGCAATTTGTGGCTTCTAAAACAATTGTTCTTCATTTGAATACAATTTTCTTTTTTTAAAGAGCATAGATTGAAAATATGTTGTTTGAAAAGAAATCTTGAAACTTTGTTTTGTTTGTATTTAAGAAAGGACACACTTTCCAGTGGAAAGTGTCCCTGCCATGGCAGGGGGATTGAAACTGGATGATCTTTAAGGTCCCTTCTAACCCAACCATTCTATGATTCTATGAAAGCTGGCATGGATGCCTGCATTAGTCACATTTCTTTATACTGTTATCGAGGAGTGTTTTGTGCAAACAGTGGAAATTAGCTTTCATGTACAGTACCTGTCTTTTAAGCAAAGATATTACAATATTTCCAAAAATTTATTGAGTCTACATATGGTTATTTGGACTCCCTCTGAGTAACAGTAAATATTTTTGCATTTCTAAACCTATGTTCATCACTGAGACTTTACTTAGAAAAAGGTCACCCTGGATAAAACTCATGGAGTTGATAAAAATATTTGTTTAGGGACAGGTAGCCTAAACTGTCATCCAGTTTTTTTTTTTGTTTGTTTGTTTGTTTTTGTTTTTGTTTTTGTTTTGTTTTGTTTTGTTTTGTTTTTTTAACCTTCCGCTAATTGATCTTTCAGAGGAGTTTGAACAATAGGAAATGTGAAGGACGCGATGAAGCCTAATCCCAGTGAACATTTATGAGAAGGACTAATTCACAGTATTAAACACAAGTTTAAGTCACGATGTAGAACATCTAAGCAATAAATATCTATGTGGCTATATATATCTTTAGGTTAAATCCTAATTACTCATAGATTTCTGTGTTTAAAATTTTCGTGGTGTAATTATGCATTTTCTGAGATTGGATTACAGAGTTACTTAAAATCACAGGAGAAAAACAACAAAGGAGAAAAACAACCAACCAACCACAACAACAACAACAACAACAACAACCCCAGGGTTTTCATGTGTGCTCCCTTAAAAAAAAGGCTTTTACTACAGGTTAGTTTAAGGCCTATACTAAAAGCTTTCCTGAGACTGATGCTACAGAAAGGTTTATGGCAGAATTATTCTAAAAAAGGGCGTCTCGATCAGTTTGTAGTTTTTGGGGTAGTATATCCATCTTAGATTCCTTCTGCAGTTTCTCTATTAACCATGGAGTGCCCAAAGAAATGATTGATGCTCAACAGCTCAAAAAACCCCTATCCAGATGAGATATATCTTCTTTTGGAAGATATATTTGATACGTATTAACAGTCTCTGGTTATCTTGCAGAAAAATAATGCTTCAGTTCTGAGCTTTTAGGTTTCCAGATGGTGAATATCACTGATGTGATTCATTTGATAGTAAACTGGACAGTGTCAAAGAAATAACTCTTTTTTTCCTATTGTGGCAAATGCTACATATGACATATTTTTTAATATTCTGCTTTAATTACTTTCTGTAAGTTTGTGGTATAAAACAAACAGAAGTCCAAAACAAACCAATGAAAAATTATAAGAATCTAAAGTTTAGTACTTAAAACCATAAGAAAAGCAGAGTTGAGACTGTGTGTGAAATCTTAATACACTCTTCTTATCCATGTACTTTTTGAGTCTTTACCTGCACAATCACATGCTAATTTTTCCTTGGCATACCTGTCTCTTCAATAAGAGTTAATATTCACTCTGTCTATTTATATTCCTAATTAATCATGTGGCCTTACGGCTACACTAATTCAAACTTCACAATGAAAACAAAACTGGTGATTTTCTCTGTGTGTTTTTGTGGCAGAAAGTATTAGTGCTTCACAAATACAGATAATTTTATCTACAGAGCACATAAGGGAATAGGTGGCATTTTTGTACAGCTTTGTATATTTTATATATTTAAAATATAGCTCCAGTCAATTTCTGTTGCTGCTTTATGCAAATCTAAGAAGCAACTAGTTGGGGTCTTTTCTTTCTTCCCCCCCCCCCCCCCCCCGAAATTCTGAAGAAAAGAAAATCAATATTCAATCTAAGTCAGTCATCTAGCATGAAAAATGTCAGCCTGTAGCCTGGTGCCTGGCAAAGTTGTGTGCAATTAAAAGTAAGCATTTTATCATGTGAAATTTCAGGCAACCTGAACCAAACTAGCTTTTGAACACTTGTTGCAAGAAAGCTGTTATAAAAAATTGAAATTAAGGGACTGAAAGAGATAATAGAGGTGTTTTTTTTAATTTTTTTTTTGTTGTTGTTCTCTGACACTGTCTGTATTGCATTATTCCTGTTTTACTTCAGTGTAAATAATAGTGAATCAGAACTGCTTTATGGTGAACTGTACTGAACTTGAATATTAATACTGATAGCTGTTGCCAGAAGGCAGTGACATGAAAGCTCCATTGTGATAAGTGCTACGCAAACATATTGTAAAGTGAAAA